AAAGAATGAAGGAAGGAAGGAAGGAAGGGAGGAAGCAAGGAAGGTAGGAAGGAAGGAAGGAAGGAAGGAAGGAAGGAAGGAGGCAAGGATCCTAGCAAGGAAGGAAGCAAGGAAGGAAGGAAAAAATGAAGGAAGGAAGAAAGGAAGGAAGGAAGGCTTATGAATGTCCTACTTGTTTTCCACCATTACTTCATCTTCTTCAACATCAAAATCATTGACAACCTCATTATTAACCAATTCTTCTGATGGCTTGAGAACATCTGCCTAAATATTTAAAAAAGCATAAACTATCCTATTCTACCTAGAATTTATAAACTCAGGATATGAGATAGATATACAATACATACCAGTTTTTCTTCTCTTGTGCCCATCATCATGATCTTATTGTTTGGCTTCAGGTTCAAAGCTTTTAACTTTGTGTTTTCATCTGGTGATTTACCTGTGTAATAACCGGGGTGGTAAGAGGGGTCTGGTGCACAGTTATTGACTATTAGCAACAGAGAATCCAGACGTGAGAGGCAAGTACTGTACTACTACTCCACCCTTGGCAGGGGAAATATTCAAGGAGGTTAGTTGGGTGTGTGACTATAATCACCTTGATATTTGTACATAAAAAGGTGATTATAACTGAGAATGTTTATCCGGGTAAACTTTTACTTAGTTTGCTTAAAGCTTTCAAATACTAAATATTATTTAGTCACTTTTAGATTCCTTTTTTAAATCATTTTCCTGCCTTTTACTGTAATATTTCATATTCTACCAAGTTGAGCTCAGTAGTCAATCAAAATTAATCAGTTGCTAGCTTTTATTTTCTTAACTCGCAGCAGTAAGAAAACCAATAGTCCCCTTCACAGTTCCCTGCGCCATCTTGAAAGGTAGCCGTGCCTTTGCATTGAAACTAGATGAGTGGTGAGCTCACAATGATAGAGACGTGAATAATTGTCCAAGGTGTTAAAAAAGGTCTTTATCATTGCCAGCTCAATCTTCCTCTTGCTTTAATGCAAAGGCACGGCTACCTGTCAAGATGGCACCAGGAACTGTAAAGGGGAGTATTAAACAATGAGTTGTACAAATCTTTATTTTCACAGAATATCAAAAACTAAAGTAAGAGTTTCCTGTGGCATCGCAGCACGGCAGTAACCCCCTTCTAAAAATCCTAGTTAAGGTACCCAGCTGTTGTCAACAAAGTTTTACTGCAGTATGTTATTTTAAAATGAGTCTTCAAAACAAATAATTTAGCGTAAACTATATCTAAAATAATACAAAACTACGAAAAAGTACTTACTAAATAGTAATCAAAAGTACTTTGTTACTAGTACTTTTTAAAAGTACTTTTTTTGCAATCCAAATATTTTTACCTTTAAATTTTAGCCCCAAAAGCTTTTGTCTTGCAGGAAGTACGCCAGTCTTGTCTTTAATAACGTCTTTAAGTCTTCCAATAGTATCATTAGGCTCAAGGTTATCGATAACATAGTCTTTTCCGCTCCATTTTATTGTAATTGATGGAATTTTTTCTGAGATTCCGTCCGCCATTTTTGTTTTTAAAAATTTATTTTTGTTCAGAACACAGGAAACCCAACAGTATTGATTTCAAAATCACTACCAAAGGGTGCCCAAGCTTGGTTTTCATTGAATGGGGAAAAGGGGGAAAACATCGGTGCAAAGGTTACAAATAGGTTACAAAGCTTCTGGACATCTTCTTAACATTTATTTTACCATTTTATTTTTATCAAGAGTTTTCTTATTCTTTTTTTATGGGGGGAGGGGGGTAGGGTGAGACGGTTGCGTGACAAAGGTATCCCATGACAACTATATGAAAGTCTCCTTTCTTGCTCCTTTCTTAAATATAATAGTTCCTGATAGAGTACTGTTCTGATAACATTTGGCTATCCAAATTTTTAAAATGCCACTAATTCAAAAGTTTATTAGATGTTTTAAACCACTCTTCATAAAACGTTCATTTTATTTACAACTATCAATTCGTACGTATTAAAAATTGACTGGATTACACATATTAGCAGCCATTTTGTCTTTGACAAAACTGTATCGGTCTTAGTCAGAGAGTATCGTGACCTTTTTTTAAGAAAATTAATATGAATTTAGGCATCAGTGATATTTACAAAAAAATATCTCAAGAAGTGTATTATTCTGATAGCCAACTTGCCAACTTCTCGCCAATAATGAAACTACCAGTCCTACGTGATGAGGTTGTTAAACAAAACTCGCTGACAAACAACTTATTTTAAAAAACAAGAACAAAGAAACAAAGGCAAAGTTTTTTGATTTGAATCAATTAATCTGACGGGGGCTGGCCCTGGTGTCATAATGCATACTGGTACCCGTCTGACACTGGCTGGCTTTTCATTGATTTAATGGAGCCAAAAATGGAACAATTAACTCATTCAAATCGACTTTTTTGAACTAAATTTTAAAATCAAAGTTCATTTTTGTGAAGTTGCTTTGAGACTGTTGCATTTTTAAATCGCAGAAGCTTTAAATTCGATTATTTTTGGCGGCTCAGATGATAATACTACATGTGACTGGCAAGGCTGGCAACAATAGAGAGTAATACAACCGGCACCTGTTTTTGTCGCGCTTTCTCTGACCATCCATTGTCACTTCCGGTTTTTGTTTGTCTCAAGCTGGATCGTTGTTATCTTCGCTCAAAAGACAATGGTCTCTGTTCTAAACATGCTGGACGTCGACTGAAGCTCTATTTAAGGTAAGAACTAGTCAATCTAAATGTTATTAAATGAACTTTATTGTTTTATAAAATCCTCTGTAAAAATACTTCATAGTATTTCAGTGAGAGTTTTACTTAATTCAGACTCTAACAAAAAAGTTAAAAAAATACTATTACAGTTCRTAACCCTTTCCATCCCATATTGAGTTTAAAAGTCGATATTTCCTGCATTTATATTCTGATATTGGTTCAGTGGTAAACAAGTTCGAATTCATCAAGCTATTTAAAAGTAAAAAAAAAATACTAGTAACTATGAACGCATTGTTATATTGATGAGTCATGTCTTACACAGACAAGTGAATGGATCAATGGATGAGTAATACGTTGCGATATGAAAAAAAAGCGCGCGAACCTGTTAAGATCATGTGGTCGTCACTGAAGGGAGCCACGGTGTCTGACATATCTTAGCCTCTCCTACCATTTTCGAGAAAGAAGAAGGAAGAAAAAAAAAGAAAAAACTAATGATCAACAAAAGTCAAATATCCGTGCTCCTTTGCATTTCTTTGGTAGCATTTACACGAGTTAGTTTCAGTCATTTTTATTAGAGAATCCCTGTTAAAATTCATATTGTTTTACAGGACAAGTTATAGATACAAGGAATTCCATAAGCAAACTTTACAAATAGTATTAATGAAGCGATAATGCTTTTCATATTTCAATAATAAGGAATAATTTGAATTTTCACGCATTCTAAGAAGACGTTATCCCATTTTTTCATCATCATGTCTAAAGTTGTGTCCATGATTAAGATTAAACAGTTCTCTTATACTATTACAGCTTCTATTATCTTACAAAACAACTTTCTCATTGAGGCCGACTAAATAACAAGCATGGCCCTGTCAAAAATCACGAGGTACATGATTTGCATAAAAGGCGGGAAAGTAAAGGCTGGTAAAGCGGCTGGGTTATTCAGTGCACGACATATTTCAGATTTTTCTTATCCATTTTTTTCCTGGATGAAAAAACAATTATGAAAAAATTTTAATTCCAATATTTAGTGTGATAAGCAAAGAAAAATACGAAAAACTACAAAGCTTTGATAAACAGTTTACATTCTGTCCGCTGCAAAGTTTTCAGTAAAGCGGGACGAATTTGTTGTCTGCCCGTACGTTGCCTTCGATTAATTCATTAGTTTAGTAACTGAAATACTTCGAGCTAAGTACTCATTCTGAATCCACTAAGGAGGGAAGCTCTACAATGACACAGTATTTTAATATTTCAAACCGAATACAAGACAGTCTATTAAGCACGTGTTGTTCCTATGCCATTACAATGTTCGCTGACCTCAATTATGGCGAATCAGAATAAAGATACACGTGCCGACCCAGCGTAACTCATTAAAACTTAAAGAAAAATCAAGGTTTTTATATATAGGAAATGGATTCTGATATTTGCTGGTTAATATGTTAAATATAAGTCAATGCAAGAAATAAGATTTTTTTCGGTGGCGGCCATGTTGGATAATGCAGCCGGTAAAATTGTCATTCAAAATGAAAATAAATGAAAAAAAGCATGGAAATCCAAAACTCCCCGCAATTTGCAGGCTTTACATTCCTTAGAGAGCTATGAGCTAATTTGATTATAGTACAATTTGTACAAAAGGACAAGTCCTTGTTAAATCGTGTAGGGTGAAATACGAGAAACCGTGCACACGGAAGTGGCATGATCATTTGTGAGCATCACCCAACATGGCTAGCATATTTACTCGCTTTCAAATAAGTATCATGTATCTCATTGAATAGCTAGTAGAAGGGTTGTGGCAGCTGTTAACTTCAGGTAATTTAGGTTTCCTGTCAAAGGTCAACAGTTTAAAAGGTTTTTTTCTCAGTACAATCTAAATCCTTGTCATTCTGTCGTCACTGAGGAAGAGAAAGGTGTTTCCGACATGGGAGCAGCATTCGGATTTTTCCGTATAATATCACAAAAAAATTACAATCCAACAAGCGATACCATAAACTACTTTGAAAGTTAGAAAGTAGTGAGAGATGGAATCAGAAATGATTTGTTATACTATATTTTTTAGGTTTTTTCCATTTTTAGCTTTTGCTTTTTACACGTTCGGTCGGTTCACTTGCGCTGTATCTTAACCAATGTTGGGTTTCTTATTGTCAGTTGTGTTTTTTTTATTCTCCTTCTCCTTCTCCTTCTCCTTCGTCTCAGTCTTTTTTGCTTTTTCTATTTCTCCTTTCTTCTTCTTCTTCTTCTTCTTATGCAACAGAATTTTAAGAATGATTTGTTTACTGATACATGAATATGCTTTATGAATATGATTCTAGCATATCTACTTTAGTAACCGAGACTGTTTTGACAGTTGGAGATCTACTCGTAGTGTCCTGTTTTACATACCTCTTTAAATTAACCTAAACATTCAAACCACCAAGGTTGAACTTGTCTAGATACGTGATGTAAAAAGAATTTCAGATTGGATTACCTGGTTATATAAGGACGAGTAATCTATCTATTTCTGTGCATTCAATCCTGTACTTAGTTGTGAACAAGGCTAAGGTAGGCGGGTTTGGGTTGTACTTGGAGGTACAGACCTAAGTAAGGACAGTGCCCGACTATTAACTATTATTGCTACCTGTATCTAAAATCCCACTTTGTTCACACTGAATCTTTTTAATTTGGAAGCTTCAGACCAACGTCAAAATTTCGAGACGTCAGTTTACAGTACGTCTTTATTCCAACACCTCTTCATCACATAAACGCTCACATAAAGTCCAACCGTCGATTAACCTATGCTGACTTACTTTTGAGCTCATCAGAAAACAAATGGACAAAACATTCTGTTATCGACATTTGATTAATTAAATACAGCGAAGAGGATAAAAGAAAGACCTCCCGGTTCGAAGGCCTCACCCAGCACTTTACACTTGCCCAGCCCAGCCATCTAGCCAGAACTATGACATCTCATCCTTAACTCACTTTACGAAATAAAAATTTTGTTTGTGAAAAGCATTTAACAAATAATCTAAAAAAAAAACCTAAAAAGTACCCAGTCTTTTTACTCGAATCATGCGAATTTATGATTATTTTCGCGGTGTGCCTCTGCAAATAGGCGACGATTTGACTCCCCGTACGGCGAACGGAAAGATTAAGCCACGAAGGTTTATTACGTCCAATCCTACCTTAGGAACAGAATAATCTAGCACAGTTATGATTGACATTCAGCAGGGATGGCATGTTTATAAGCAGGAGGGTATTGCCTGAGGGATGATGAATGAATATTTTAGTCCTTGCCATTGCGATGGCAAAACTTTCAAAAACTTTCGAAAGCAAACTCTTTCCTCTTCCTTGAAAAGTATTCCCCCTTTATTCTCGTTTATATAACTTATTCTTTAGTCTATAAACCGCTACGTTCATGACTGGTACTTGAAATTTTGTATTTACGCCGATTGAAACGCATACAGACGTACCTTGCGACTAGAAAAAGGCCTCCAACGTGCTCCGTTCTAATCAGAATACCTTAAGAATTTTACGAGCTACCTTGAACGCGGAAGCAATCGAAGAGTCTCACCTAACGATGCATGAGTCATCATCCCCGCAGCCTCAGCCCTCAAAGAAAAAAACAAGTTTTTGTAATCCTCTTATAACTTTTTGTTTTTAGTTGTGTAATTGTGTAATTCCTTCAGTTGGCGTACTGAATTCCTTGTGTAAGTTTCTGCCAATTATTCTAGCCATCTTAGTAACAAAACATGTAACTGTCATATATAACAAAACCGGCTATAGTAATCCTCTTTACTTTTTAGCTTTCCTTCTGTAATTCCTTGTGTGAGTTTCTGCCAATTATTCTAGCCATCTTAAAGATGTTATATGTAACAAAACATCAGTGTAACTGCATTCTAGCCATCTTAAATATGCTATATGTAACAAAACATGTATAACTGCCATATGTAACAAAACATATAGTAATCTTTTTAGTTTGGCTTGTGTATAATTCCTAGTCTAATTTCCCTGCCAATTATTCTAGCCATCTTAAAGATTCTATATGTATATATATATGTGTATATAGGAATGAATATTCCTCCGCAAAATCGATTAACCTGGGGGGAAGAAACTTCGGTGAAGGACCTCGGCCAACTGTAATTTGAATAGATTCAATTTATCAGATGTATACTCTTTTACTCCGACGAAGGACTAGCGTCCGAAACGTCAGTAAGTTTTTTCATCTTTTCACGGTGTATAATTTACCTTTTCATCATTACTGTTTCATTAGAAACACCGACGCAGCTCACACTAGTTTTTAGCTAGTTATATCTTTTCATCAGATGTATATTATGTTCGGTTACGATGAAAAGCTTAATTGTCTTTATTCTTGTGTATTACTCCTCATTCAATATAGACAGTGAACAATTTAATCATAGGACCTTCTTGAAATAGAAAACAATGGAATTTGCATGAAATTGTGCTATTTAGTATTACTAAAGTTTCACGGTTATAGAGTAACCACAGTATTAAGACGGAGAATGTAAATTACTACCTATCCAAAAAAGACATTATCTACTTCTGAAACCATAACTAAATTTCTAAAAATCTGAAAATTTATTCACTAGCTTTATTATCTTGATTAATCTGTTATTAATGTATCTATTTTTGGTTATTCTAAGTCAGATATAACTTATCAGTAAGTTATTTACAAGTAAGATGAAAACTCAATGACACTTTTTGTATTAGTTTATCGTGGATTTAAATCATTGCTGCCATTTTATTTTTTCTTTCCCCACTCGTTTTAGCAAGCTAGTAAAATAATTGCATTAGTGCATTTCATGTTCGGATTTCAATTTTATCGCATGACGACGACAGGTCGCATTAATGTCTTATATAAACCAACTTGTTCACACTTCTAGAAAATCCTATCAAAAATTAGTTGACTGATATAGACAACCACACCCACATCATAATTAATGAAGTATGAATGTTGTCTGGGTTGGGCCTGGTTTGGATGGTTACTCCCCAGCCCCGTATCCCATTCCCTAGTTTTTATGCCAAGTATGCCAGTTTTTAGCCAAGTATGGCTGGCTAGCTAAGCCTGTAATTCATTAGATGAATGTAGATCAAGTTCAACACCACCCCTAGAATTTACATCTTTTATAAAATTATAATATCGATGAGTTTATTTTGTGGCCTAAAAACTGGCATGTTTTTTAAGTCAGATGTGCTTACGTTTTTGGCGTCATTTTTTGCGATTCAAAAGGCGAATTGTTAAATATGGTTTGGATAGACAACAACGGAAAGTCAGTCAAGTAAGCTGTATCTGATAGCCAAACCAAACCGACATGTACAGTACCATACAGTTTAACAAACCCTCAACGACTTCTGGAGCAAGTCCGAGTCAGGGCACGGCTAAACCACAGATCAGGGCACGACTCAAATCATAGATTGTACCCTGAAACAACCTCTGTGCTTATCAAAGACATTGCACGGCTAACCCCCTGAAAATGAACCTCAATGTTGATCTACTCATTGCACGGTTGACTCACAGGTCAAACCCTTAACTGATCAAGCCGGGGCTGATCAAAATCGGGGCAAGGCTAACTAATAGAGCGACTATTATGACAAATCATTTTTCAAAACCTTAAGACACTGGTCAATGGGCTAGGCATAGTTAATAACTAGTATGGGCTAGGTCTGCTAAAAGTCCACTTCCGTCTTGGTGGCGAAGGGTTGGCCCGGAAGTCCAGAGTGATATCAGTCATCGTCGGTATATCATTTCCCTAATTCACACTAAGGTCACAGTAATGGCTTGTATTTATAGAATGTAATCGGATTTCTTTGCCAAAACTATAAAACCAAGCCTGACCATCGCTATTCAATTGAGTCAGTGATTCAGTATAGAAAGTACGTCCACGAACAACCAAGTCCTTCGGAGCAGACAAAACGGGACCTTTACGGAGGTAAATAACGGAATATTTTTGGCGTCGAAACTTGTTGTATTGTACGAGGGCATGTTGTGAGAGAAGCTTTATCTGAATACTTACGACAATGAAAGCTAAAAAGTCAAGGTACGAGATAAATATTTTATTTTTGAACTGATAACATTCAGAAATAGTTTATCCAAAATAATATTCAGGTGTAAGAAAGTTTCAGAACGGAAGTGGGAAACATTGCATCGAATCTCAACTAGTTTTGCTTCTATTGACGATAGTCGTTTGCTTCTTAATTTATTTTGCAAAAAGTTGAAGATTTTTATATCTTATTTAACTCAATTTATTTTCACAAGTGACAATTTACGAAGCATACAGTTAAGARACATTTATCATCAATTCGCGTTTTTCTTTCTGCCGATTCTATTTCTGTTGAAGTTTTCTTAGTTTACTTTAAGTCGACAAAGAAAGTTCAACTTTTTCTATTTCTTTTATTCGTTTTCAACACAATAAATCCTCTATCTTTTTATTAAATACAAGCAAAGTCACTAATAGTAGAAAATGCAATACAGTACTGTATATATAACCCCCCTGCCCGGCAGGGAGTAGATTGTTCATTGCTCAATACTAAACCGCGTGATTTTTCCGTGGTTTAGGCTTGGCCATACATACATAACAATCCAAATATGTTAGTAATACCAAAGTAAGGCATTTTTTTCTAAGTTTTCGAAATTTAAAATATTTCTAATAATTTGCATTTTAGTTTACTGCGGGAATGTAAACGGTTTCGTTATCAACGGTGTTAACTTGCTCGGCGGTAGAGACTTATCTCCCTTGTTGACACTAATGATTTCATTCCTTGTCTTCCTTCATTAGCTTCTAGTCTAGAATGTCGGAAGCAAGCTAAAAGCAAAGGTGTTAATCAGCCCGGCCTAATTTTTACATACAGCATTCTTGTATTTGGATCAAGTAGTTAAAGTGTATACACCTACTTGCAAGAAGGTTGTCATACAAGAATAGAACATTTGTAATTTAGTAAATTAGTGATTTAGTAAATTTACTGATTTACTGATTACTGATCGGTAAAAAATCACTAATTTACTAAATTACAAATGTTCTATTCTTGTATGATAACCTTCTCGCAAGTAGGTGTATGAACACGAAAACATTTCATCGTTTAAAATGTATAGTTTGTTAGTAATAATAAATATATCGTAACGAAATGAAAGCTTATTTCTTGAGATACGTGAGAAAATTAAGCCCAATTTGTGACGTCATTTTGTTGACACACTCTAGTTTCGGTGAGTAATGTAGTAAAATAACAACAAAAGGCATATACTATTCTGCTTCATTTGATAGCTTACGTAGTACTCTTCAAATGTTGGGAAACTGAAAAGTGTACTACCTGAAATTAAGATTCTACATTCAAACATATTTTGCAACTAAATCTGGAGACTTGTAAACGAAATGACGTCACAACTTGTGCTAAATTTTGAATTTCTAGAGAAATACGTTTATGAAACAAAATTAACTGTGGTATTTTTAATAATGCCAATAAACTACACATTTTTAAAGTGCATATGACACGAAAAAATTTTAATGTTAAGAATGTGTAGTTTATTGGCATTAATAAGAATATCACGGTTAAATTTGTTTCAAAAACGTATTTCTCTAGAAATTCAAGAAAATTTAGCACAAGTTGTGACGTCATTTTGTTTACGAGTCTCCAGATTTAGTTGCAAATACACAAAATATGTTTGAATGTAGAATCTTAATTTCAGGTAGTACAGTTTTCAGTTTCCCAACATTTGAAGAGTACTACGTAAGCTATCAAATAAAGCTGAATAGAATATGCCTTTTGTTGTTATTTTATATGAATTACAATTTATATTTAGTGCATTACTACCGAATCTAGAGTACGTGTCAACAAAATGACGTCACAAATTGGGCTTAATTTTCTCACATATCTCAAGAAATAAGATTTTGAAACAAATTTTATTGCGACATATTTATTATTATTAACAAACTATACATTTTAAACGATGAAATGTTTTCGTGTCATATACACTTTAAGATTAAAGTTTTTTCGTGCACTTTAAGGATGTCTCATTCCTCCCTAGTCTCCCTCGCATCCGTTTTTAGTGTCGGTCGTCACGCAATGATTACTCGCAATACCAAGCGCAATTTGAAATATTTTTTGTTGTTTACCACATTAAAACTTACTTAGTTTATCATGTACAACCTATCTTTTCAGATTGTTTGCGAGAAATAGTTTCGTTATTTATCGACTAAAAGATTGATTTATTTCGGTACTCCTTTATCTTTCCTCCCTTTTTTTCTCTTCTTCTTCTTCAGTTGCTATGAACTGAATCTCTTTCTCCAATAATAAGGGACCGGTCATTATTTAAGTCG